GGCTACGGCATGATGCAGTATATGTGTTATGTTAGATGATATGTGTCATGCTAGTTGATATGTGTTTATGCTATGCTATGATCAGTTAGTTCCGGACTTCGATCCGATGCAGTCAGTCCCGAACTTCGGTCCGATGCAGGGGACAAGGTCCCAGTCAGTTTCGAATTTCGGTCCGATGCAGTTTCCGGACTTCGATCTGATGCAGTGGGTAAGGCCCAGTATGTGATTTATATGTATTGTATGGTATGTGGTAGTTTGGGGGAGCTCACTAAGCTTCGTGCTTACAGTTTCAGTTTTGGTTTCAGGTACTTCCGCAAGTAAAGTGAAGAGCTCGGGTTGATGGCATCGCACACACCACAACTTCAGTCTTTGTCCTGGGAGTTTGTTTTGATTCATAGTCTGATTTGATACAGTTGTTTCACGACATTTTATTATGATTTGAGATATTTGACGTATGGTTTTATGATATGACGTTCAGTATATGATTTTTATCATTATTAAAACAAATTTTTTTGGGTCGTATTTTTGGATGTTACACTATACTTTGTACTGCATTATGTGTCTTTGTGTGTAGGATGTTGTTATACTATAGTGATATGTTCGGTTGGTAGATCCATATGATTACCTGTATTGTTGGTTATTGATTATTTGTTTGAATAAGTTGACATAATACAGGGGTTGATGAGGTATGTGTAACGCCCATTTATTTATTAGTTAAATAAATAAGTTAATGAGCGAATGGTAGCCTAAAATAAATAATTATGTATGCAGGGTGTTGGGTTTGAGGAGTTAATTACCACATTTTTGGAAGTCGGGGGTTAAAAGAGTGAGTTTGGGATTCATTTTATAAATATTTATGAAGGCAGGGGCTTCGTGGTAACTACTGGGAGCTGAATATGTCATATTTGAGAGTTGGAGGTTTAAAAAGGTAAATTGTGGATTAGTTTGTAAAGATTTCAGAAGAAAGGGGGCTAGTTAGTCAAAACCCAGACCTATATTGTAAAGGAATTCAAGGGGCAGGGTTTAAATGGAAAATATTGGCCTTGTTGTGAAAGAAAAGGGGGAATGAGGGACTGTTAATGTGAACATGGGAAGAAGTTTGAAAGGTGTCGCACCACCACCTTCGTTGAGATTGCCAACCGTCGGATGCCACCAAGATTTAACCTCCCAACCGTGGTCGGAGTCCGCTGCCACTGTTCTACCGTCTCGCCATCGTCGATGTCGAGTCCGACCGCCGCTTTCATCCTCCGACCAGCGATGCTTAGCGCTGCAAAAGAAGCCTTCAAGGCTTGGAACGACGAAGACAGATCGTTGCTCTCATTTCTCGCCACCATGCCTCTGTATCTTCTTATTCTTCTCCCCCTGCCTTCTGCCATCATGAAGAACTCGATGTTCCGCCATCGGGTGGGTGTTGTTGATGTGGTGGTCGTAAACCACCGCCATCGTCGTCGCTGGTGCTGTTGACGAGGCTAAGGGTGTTGTTGACGATGCTGTGGCGATATGCTGCCACCTTCGGACGTGTTCCTTCGTCCCTTTTGCCAAGCCGTCGTCGCCGCCGCCGCTACAACTATTTCATCGGGTTTTTCGTGCGCCGCCGGTTGCTGCCACCTCTCGCTGCCACTAGCCACCGTGAGAGGTGGTTGTGTGCGTGTTTTACTTCGTGATTAGGTGTGTGTGGTTGTATTTCCATTAGCAATATATGTGTTTGAGTGTTGTGTTTAGCCGGAGTTCACGGAAAAGTCACCACCACCACCGTGTGGTGGTGGCTGCCGCCACGTGCCACCACCGGCCACCACAAGGGTGGTTGTGGGTGTGTATGTATTTAGTATAGTGTGTGTGTGTTTAGTTTGAGAGTTCATTGTAAAATGTAAAAATTGGAATAATAGAAATCTCAAATCACCATCGTAGGGCGGTGGCTACCGCCTCCTGCCGCCACCGACCGCCGTGTCGGGTGGTGGTGTGCCTCGTTGATGTTGTGTTTTGGTTTGGATGTTTGGTCAAGGGACTAAAACCCTAATGGGCTCAAAGGATCTCTAATGGACCCTAATAAAACCCTAATGGTCTTAATGATATTCTAGTGGGCTTAATAGGCCCAATAAATCCCTAACTGATCTAAAAGCCCAACAAATTAATTAATGGACTAGTATGGGGTTGGAAACCCTAATTAGGGTTTGGAAAACCCTAATGCCATGAAACCCTAATTTGGGGGAATTAATCGGGACACACAAGAATTCTTTAATAACTTGAGATATTAAATAATAAACTTTGGCAAAGATTAATCTAAGCGATATTGGACTTAATGGATTAAGTCCTTAATAGGTTAAGTAGGAAACTTAACCCTAATCATCATTTTATGTGAAACCCTAATTTCACTTGGGTTTATTGTTGGGCCTTGAGGATTAGGTAATTAGTGGGCCATCCAAAGTCAAGCCAATGAACTAGAATAATTTAATGGGCCTGGAGTAAGGCCCATGTATGGGGCTTGGGCCTAATTTGGAAATTTGGGCCTTAGATGGGCCATAGTTTGGGCCTTAATGATTATATGGTGTTGGGCCTTAGAATGAGACCATGTTTAGGCCTAGGCCCAATTTGGAAAATTGGGCCATGTGTTGGGCTTTGATTTCCTAGATGACTTTGGGCCTACGGGTTCGGCCTTGGGCTTGAATAAGCCAAGCTTGGGGTAATGTAATTATCCAAAGTAAGTGTTTATGGTTATGTAGTGGGACCCAAAGTAAGTGTTTATGGTTATGTAGTGGGACCCTTTTATGGAGTTTAAGGAGGTAGATTCCAATGGTATATGGGCATATGATGCAGTTTATGAGCTAGCCATGGCTGTTGAGAGGGTACAAACTGCAACAGAATTCACTTGGAAAGACCTGGGTAACAATATTGGCACATCACTACTTTTAGACGAGATGTTAATAGTCAGGTTCCATGGTTTAGGTGGTGAATTCAAGCTTATGAAAGGGAGGATCATCTCCAATGCCATGGAAGTGGTGAATGTGATCGACAAGGGTGATAGGAGGGTTGGGTTCTGGATGATGTCTACTGGTGAATTTGTGAAAGGAATTGGAATCCCGGATTCCATTTCCAACCGTGGATTGCAAAGTATCATCTGGCCGGGTGGGACTACAAGCATTAATCGAAAGCGTAGGAAGCTACAAACAAATGGCAATAAGAAGCTCAGAATTTTGTTTCCCAATTTCGGTAGATTCCCAAATTTAGTACAAGTGACTGTAGATCCCAAAACAAATCTATCGGGTGTGAGTGGCTTCTATGGAGATGTTTTCAGTGCTGCGTTTAACGCCTTAGACTATGGAGTAGGGATTGAGGTTTTTCCATTTAAATATGAGGTTGGAATTACTTACAACGATCTAATTCAAAAAATCTATCGTAAGGTATGTTTTTTTTTTCTTTCACGCAAAACTTCATGAATTTATCTTGGTAAAGCATGCTGTTACATAGTTTTTGGCTAATGTGAGATGCCGGATGATATCAGGAATATGATGCTGCTATCGGGGATTTTACAATCACAACAAATAGATCTCTCTATGTTGACTTCACAATTCCGTTCACTGATCTTGGAGTTGGCATAGTAGCCCGAAACGCCAAGAACAGCATGTGGATCTTCTTAGATCCTTTTAGTGCGGGTCTTTGGATCACAAGTGTTTGTTTCTTTCTCTTTTTGGGGTTTGTCATTTGGTTTATTGAACATCCTACAAACAAAGAATCTCAAGGTTCAACAATACAACAAATAGGAACCACCCTGTCGTTCGCCTTTTCAGCCCTTGTTTATGCTCACCGTAAGCTCTTCACTTAACTATTTGCTCCTTTTTTTAGCAAATCTATCTTCACCTTTCTAAAAAACACCATGGAAACTGCAGGGGAGAAGCTGCAAAGTAATCTATCAAGATTCGTGGTTATTGTTTGGGTTTTTGCAGTGCTTGTTCTCACATCAAGTTACACTGCAACATTGAGCTCAGTTTTAACAGTACAACAGATTGGAATGAATGAGATCTCTACGGGATTCCAGAATCTTTCTCCAGTAGGGGGGTATGTATTTAACAAATTGAAACCTGTTGATGTCAATTTGGAGAAACTATATACACCTGAGGATTACTCTAAAGCATTAAGAAATGGAAGAGTTGATGCAATCGTCTCTGAGATTCTTTACATCAAATCATTCCTTTCAATGTATCCGGCTACCGACGTCTCCTTGATTGCAACAGCATCCACCACCAATGGTTTTGGCTTTGTGAGTATTCTATGTTAGACCATTATTCTATTCATAGTTATATATGTTATGTTGGCAACATTAATTATAGCCTCCCTTAGCAGTTTGTTAGAGGTTTTATTAGAGAATCCAATTTACTTCTCTCATTTAGCTCTATGTTTGCAGGCGTTCCAAAAGGGTTCGCCCTTGGCGAGAGAGGTGTCAACTGAGATAGTGAAGATGCGGGAAGATGGGACATTGAAAGCATTAGAGGATAAGTGGTTGAAACATGAATCTGCAGTGATGTCAAAGGATTTTTCTTCCCCTTCACCAAAAATCCTGAATCTTTACCGGCTTCGAGGTCTCTTTGTTATCAGTGGTGTGTCGATTGCATTAGTCCTTTTGGTGTCCATGATTCATCTTGTTCCCAAAAAATGGCATGCCAAAAATATAACAAAGACACTAAGGTCTGTCTTACGAAATACATGCACAAGATAGTGATGTGGAATTAACATATATGTAAAGTTAAATTCTAACCATTATACTCCACATCTTATTTCTATATAAAAATCATAATATGTGGTCACATGTGTTGTAACATCCCAAGAATCATGATAAAAAAAATTATTTTTGTAAAACATTTCCATAAACCAAAATATAATCAACCATTGTTTTCAAGACAAATCTATAAAATCAAAAATCTCTCAAGACATATATCAGCAGGAGGATATGTACGATTACGCATTTGCCTTATCCCGATCATCTGATGTACCTGAAATCATGAAACCAACAAATGTAAACCAAAGCTTAATGAGTTTCCCCAATATACCCTACACACAATACGTATACAATGCATGCACAACAGGCCTACAGCACGTTGGACCACCACCTCAGCCTTCAACAACAAGTTGGGCCGCTCTTGAGCCTACAACATAAGCTGGACTGCTCCCTTGGGCCTATGGTGTCAACTGGGCCGCCCGAGTATCTTGGCCTTCAGCACAAAGCAGGATCGCCTCAACCCAACCATATTATGTCAACATATGTAAACAATAAGCAATAGCCAACAAGTTCAGGTAATCATACGGTAATCATACAGATCTACCAAACAGATCACTATAGCATAACAACATCCTAAACACAAGGATACATGCCTTCGACCCACAAGTATAGTGAGAAAAACTCACCTCGAAGTCTATAAGATAGTTGAACCGATCACTAATCCAAATATCGACTCTACAGGTCACCTATATAATAAAGAAGGACCAAGTCTCAAACTACAGCTCCAAAGACTCTATTTGACCTAAAGTCAAACTTGATCAAAGTCAATGGTCAACAGTCAACGGTCAAAAGTCAACTTCCAGCCGGTCTACGCCCAACGTAGCACCTCTACGCCCTGCATAGAGCCTAAGGTGGCAAAATAGGGGAAATTGATGCTACGCCCCGCGTAAGGGGATTTACGCCCTATGTAAACCCTTGATGCCCTAACTTAATCATTAAGCCCTTAATACAGATCAATAACTCTTCCAACTTCTAGATCTTTATCTTACAAACGTTTTAATGGATAAAGTCTCTAACTTCATCCATTTGCATGCATACCAAGGGCACAAAATCATAACATAGGTCCAAAAATTCATCCAATGCTCCAGAACTCATACATGGATGGATGAGAGTGACCAAGCTCTCATTTTTATAAAAAACATCTAGAAATGACACTCCAATGGTCTGGAGTAGCTCTTACTCATAGTCACCGGGGTTATGGGGACAAAAGCAGGAAATCGTAAGGCTTAACTAGATCTAACATAAAAACACATCAATGTAGGAGCTTTATACCTTCTAGAGATAGTTGAGTGGATGAAACCTCTGTATCTATACTGATTTGAGCTCCCAAGTGGTTCCACAATCTTCTTCTTCCATCAAAAATGAACACAAAACACACCAACAACTCAAATCTTACAAATATTGATTAGGGTTTCTAAGGATGTCGTTTAGGAGGATGGAGGTTGAGGATGGAAGGGCCTCAAGGGAGTTGGAGCCTTTAAATATGGCTCAAACCGCCAAGATTAGGGTTTTGGTTCTGGGAAGCTACGCGATGCGTAGCTTGATCTACGCCCTGTATAGATAATTTAATCCCCACTTCAAGATTCCCTCCTACGTGTTGCAATGGAGATTACCTTATGCCCAGCATAGGACCAAACTCCCCCAAAGAATTAAACTTTTAAAATAAGGAAAGAAATTTACCTACAAGGACCAAGTGTTACATGTGTACATCTTTTTTCTACCGCCATGTAAAACAATAAAAGTCATGTTCCCGATATAGAACAAGTATCCTGATGTAATATTGCAATCACCTACATCTCCTAGCTAATCATTGTCTATGTATCCTATTAAATTGAAATCATCTATTTTGAATAAGAATAACCCAAGGCTATATGAAATGTGTGTAGCTTTTTCAAATGTGTGTTAACTAGCTCCTTCATAAATCCCCTTACTACTCCAACGCTATATAAAATATCCATCCTTGTGCATTTGAGATAGAGAAGGCTTCCAAATAAACTCGTGTATGTGGTTGCATCTACTCGTTCTCCCTCGTAAAACGTATAAAGTTTCCTACCGATTTCCATAGATGTTGATACCAAGTTGCTATCTATCATTTTGTTCATCTTCAAGTTTCTTTTCGTATATGTTTCTTATGACATTATAATACTTGTATTTTATTGTCCAAACTCAAGACCAGGTAAATACTTCATTAAGCCCAACTCTGTTATCTCGAATTTTCAAGTCATGTCACCTTTAAATTTTTTTGTCATCTTAATATCATGCCCTAAAAAAATGAGGTGATTAACATAAAGATCAACAAAGATCAAATGAATCACATGTAGTACATGCTTGTACTAACAATCGACTAAAACATTTTTCTGTATCGAATCGAATATTCCATGTAGGGGATGTTTGCTTTAACCCATATTGAGCATTTCTCAACTTTAGAAACTTACTCTCACACCTTACTTTTATGTACCCAAGCACTTGTTCTACATATATCTCCTCTTATAACACAATGGTCAAAAAAGCTCACTTGAACATCCATTTTAATTTTTTGTCATTTGAATTAAGTTGAGCTTCTTTATAAATTAGTAGTCGAATTATTTATGTTCTCGCAACTCGCAACTGAGGCACAAACTTCATCATAGTCGATCGTTGCATTGTCTATAGCCCTTTACGAACATTCTTCTATTGTATCTTTATATCTCATACTATTTTAGTCACTTTATTTATATCAAACTTAATAAATGAATACCCTTACCTTTACTTACTTTTTGTTATTTTTTATTAGCTCTTATTAAACATACTACTTTTAATATTCAAAGTCAAGCATGTTTATTTTTAAATACAAAGAGTAACTATTGTAAATTTACAATAAATAATAAATATCTCGGCTTACAACATATTGTTCAAGAAAGCTAATTTGACATCCATTTGAACTGAGCTTTTTTAAAAATTAATAGTCGAATCGTTTTCATTTCTCAGAACTAGGGTAAAAACTTCATCGTAGTCGACCGTACATTTTATATATGGCTCATACTATTTAGTCACTTTACTCATTATTTAGTCAGTTTATTTATATCGAACTTAATACATAAAGACCGTAACTTTTACTTACTTTTTGTTATTTATCGACTCTTATCATAAAAAGATTACTTTTATTTTTGAAAGTAATATGTTTTTTTCAATACAAAGATCATTATATTGTAAATTTATAATAAATAATATATATCAAATGTTCAGTTTAAAATAACATAGTATTTTTATCATATAAAGAAAAGGTAAATTGTCATTTCGTTTTATTTAGATTGTTCTTTCAATTAAAAATAAACATTATATATAGATCCGATACAAAATACATTTTAGGTAGGAAGGCAAAAAGTTTTTTTCTGCATATCTTTTTTCCGAACCAAAAAAATAAATCATTACATGAATCAAGACAAACATGATGCACAAATATATATATATATATATATATATATTATATATATATATATATATATATATATATATATATATATATATATATAGATGATGGTTCAAATGAAGATAGTAAATAAAGTGAGGACGATGAAGATACTACTTTTATGTTATTATTCTGCTAAGAATTTGATATATATGTTCTATTGTTATAACTCTAATGTGAATATTTGTCGTATGATTATTCATATATTTATTTGTAGTAAGTTATAATGTTAATATTAAAATATGATTATTCATATATTCATTACCGAATAAAAACATAAGACAGTATATAACATTCAAGGCAGAATAATAACATAAAAGTAGTGTTTTCACGTCCTCACTTTATTTACTGTCTTCATTTGAACTTTTATATATATATATATATATATATATATATATATATATATATATATATATATATATATATATATATTGTTGAAAAAACCATTTCGATAATACACTTTTACGATTATTTTGTTGTTATTCACTAAAATAATCATAAAAATGATTTTTTTTGTTGATTTACTGAAAATGAATCATGAAGGTGTTTTTTGGAAAAAAAAAATTATTGTCAATCATCTTACTTTTGATTCATTTAATAATTCATTTTTTTTATTCACTTAAAAATATGCATATAAAAAATTCCGTACCTTCCTACCAAAATTTTTCTTCTTATTTGATTCGGAGATTATATATATATATATATATATATATATATATATATATATATATATATATATATATATATATATATAAAAGAGTTATTTGGAGAACGAATATAACAAAAAACAAAACCCTAAAAATATGTAAAGAAAATATTTTAAAACATCTAATCTTTTTTTGACTTTACAAACCTAAAAGTCGCAAGTTATATATAAATTCTTGGAAAGAATTTAAAAAAATTAATTTTTTAGTGAAGTTGTATAAAAGATTTGATTTTTAGGTTTGTAAAGTCAAAAGAAAAAAGATTAGATGTCTAATAATATTTTTTATGTATTTTTTGGGTTTTAGGTTTTTTTTATTATAACCGTTTTGCATTGAACCCATATATATATATATATATATATATATATATATATATATATATATATATATATATATATATATATATATATATATATATATTGTAACACCCGTGTTCTAGATCGGTTTAGCTTCAATATATCATGGGTTAAAGATGGAGTTTTGGGAAAACTTTGTGCCATGACGTGACATTTGAATAATGGAACGCGTGTTTTATTAATGGCAATGGTGTGGCATCTGTTCATGACCAAACTCGTGATCTTTTAAGGTTTCCTTCGTATTTAAACGCCATTAGCTTGAATCTAGGTTTCCTTATCAGCCTCCAGCACCCTCAAACCCTAATCCTAAACCCTCTTGGTGATTCTTGGCTTATTTTGGTGCTTTTGGTAGCTAGAAAAAGAAGGTGTCTGGTGTGTTGATTCAGTAAGCAACCATCATCATCGACCTCTTAAGTAGTCTTTAGGATCTTG